TGACCTGGAAATCAGGGGAATTTGCCTTATTCCTTGAATTTTGCCATACCTGGCTTGTGTGTGTTGGCTTTGTACATGMTTTCACTTGTGTTGGCTGCCTTTAGCCTTTCAGAGTTGCATTGATTCAAAAGCCTACTACATTATGGAGGGAAAARAACTATTTCTATGCTAATTTAGTATAATTTTTTTAAAGGAGTCTGAACCCACGTTTTACAAATACTCAGAAACATTTYATAGCGTTTGTATTGCTAGTCCTATGGAAGGTGAGGCAGATGAATGTTCAAAATGTCAAGATGTAGTTTTAAGTAGGCAAWTCAAGCACCTGTGAAAGGCTGATTGGTTTTGTTTTTTTAAACAAACTCTTTGCAACTCCAGTCACAGAAATGGTCCTTGGCCACACTGTGCTTTGTGGTTTGTGTTACTCTAGTGTTCASAAAATCTGTTCTTTGTAGATTACTCATAGGTTGATGTGATGGTTAGCTTGCCACACTCACTAGTTAAATGTGTTTTCTTTTTCAGATTGAAACAATTGGGAAGAAGGTGTCAGCCAAAAGAATTCCTTTTGCTTCTTCATGTGAAATTCCTAAATTCAGCCTGCAGGATCCACCTGTCAAAAAGCCTAGAGTATAATGTTTAATAGATACYGAAGGAATTCTGTGGATCTTCTTAGTGATAACTGTAAGCCTATGCTTTTTTTAAGGAAATATATTTTTCATATACTAAACCAATTTTACACTAGAAATGGTACCTGGTACATGTGAATTCAGTCTATTTTCAAATCTCTATTTTTATAGTAATTTTTTTTTGTTACTGATGATGGTACAAACCTGTTTTTAATAATGAATCATCTTTTGAATGGAAAAGTTACCTTCAAACTGCAGATTTCTGCTTCCAGAAATGTTCCTAAACAGCACTTTAAATATTTCAAGTGATAGGAAAGGAAAAGAAATGGAATATCTTTTTACCTTAGTCCAGTTATAGACTGTAATCAGTCTATATAAACTGTGATCTACAGACTGGAACATTGGTCTCACCAATTTTTCATTTTCTTTTGGGGTGATTCTTTGCCCACTTAGCACATGCTCTAACTGGCATTGAAGTCAAAAGATTTAAGTATATTGGTAGGCTTTAGGTCCAGCCCTAAGGTAGAACTGACTTCAGCAATAATGCCCCAATCCTGGTTGGGATCCATTGGCACTGGTGCAGTATAACTGCATCTTTTGGGAGACCAGATAGTTCTGCAGGCATCAATCGTGTAATTAGTGCCAGTGGACAGCAGCTACAACCTGATCCACTGGCAGATCTTCAGTTTTCATTCTTTGGTTGTTTTGCCTACATTCCATGTGCAGCCACATGTTTTTGATTTAATCAGATTCCTGGGGCTAATATTCCCTAACTTACAGCAACACAACCTGTCTTCAGCAGAGCAGCATTCTGCTTGTTTGAACATTGAGCTTAAGCAGAATTACCTTGATTTGGTGTCAGCCCAAGTAGAAAATAAATATTTGCTTCAATGTTACCTGATGGTTATCTTTTTTCTTCCTTCTGCTTACAYAGTCCATCTGAAAGCAGCTTTTTAAATGAATCTTCAAAAAAATAATCTCTGCTGTGAAGAARTGGTTAAAAATAAATTCAGCCCCATAAATCAGCTTGCTACCTCATTAAATTAGCAGGAATGAATACTTCCAATGTTCTCTTGATATTTTTGCCTTTACTGTTACTTTGTTTCTACTTGTTTTTATTATTCTCAATTGGCCAGTGCTATTAAAATCCTTGAGATGAGAGTGTTTGTGTTTGGCTTGTTSCATGGGGTTGTGAAGTGGAGGGGAGGATAGAGAAGGATGACCATGAACAGGTTTTAGACTAGAAGATATAGACTTAATTAATAATAGAGTGCTGGGATAGTAGAGAATTATCCTGCAGCTAGTCACATAATACCTCCTGAATTACTCAACTGGTGTGCCTTCAAGCATGCTGTATTAATAGTTAAACAGGAGGTAAGATCAGAGTGCTATTAGTAGCTGCTTATCCACAGAAATCTAGGCAAGTATCGGGCAGATACTTGAAGATTTAAGGAACTTGTATAACAATTTGGACAGACAATGCAAGACACTATTACCTTACTGAAATTGTTGTATCCTTGAACCGGATGCCTCCAGATTCTGCATGTTAATGACTTCCACATAGGGATTTTCCTGCAACAATCAGCTGGCACTTCTGGCAAATATGCCTGAGGCTTTTTGTCCTATTGTAAGAATTTTCTCAGAGAAGCACATCAAAAGCCACTCAAAATGAGTGGGAATCATGGGGAGTTAAAATCAAACTGTCATCTTTGATTATGCCATTTCCTTGTCCCTATTGACTAGTGCTGCTTTCATGTAACAACTTCGGGATGCAGTAAGAATTGCAATGCAAYCTGTGTAGGCATTGTGTTCCAAGAGGCAGATCACCCTATCTCTGCAGATGAGTGTCTTCTTGGCTCCCTCTGGCCCCATAGCACCTGAGAAGGGTAGGCTGGTCACTGCTTCTTTGGGATTAGGATGAGGATCCTGACAAATTGTACTTAACAAATCTCTTGTCCTTGTCTGTTCAGCTTAGYACAACACTGCTTCAGGGCCCAACCAAGAGTGTGAGTAGAGGTGTCAGAAAATCAGGATGTCTTTTTGAAACTTGCATACACCTGTAAATAGTAGTGCCTTTGTGTGAGACCTGTCCCATTAGTTTGAGGCAGATGATGAACCATTATTCTTGTGTGAAGTATTGTTCCTTTAAGGAATGTGCAAGTGTTCCTGAGATTCCAGGGGCTTTTCACAAGCGATCCCAAAGAGATGGAGAAACTAAGTGCTATAGCCTTATCACTACCCTGTTTCTCCTGCAGACTTATTCGAAGCCTGAACAGTGACTTGTAGCTTGGTTGTAAAGATATTAGAGAATGGCCAAGTTCATCACAATGGGATCACTCTCAATTCCCTCTCTTAGCACAGGTGGAGTAGCAGATCCTTTCTGAAGAGCAGCAAGAGGTAAAACTAGTACTGGCTTTTCCTTGCTTTCTTAGAGTCAACTTTGTTTCTTGGTGGCTGCATTCTTTCACTGGGAGAACTGGGATTGTGGGATGAATCCAGTGGGGCATTCCTTCAGGATACAGCAATACATGCGTTGCATATATGCCAGAGAACCTTATCACAGGCCAAAAGAAACAGCTTCAGAAGCTTGTGCAGAACCATGAATCATAAGCCATCATCTTCAGAATAGAGTTGTCAGGGAAATAAGAACTGGAGATGACCTGTATTTCTATTTYGAAGGCTTGAGCAGTGCACGTAAGAGATGGGGTTTAATGCTATTGAGTCTTTGTATATGGCTGTTACAGCATGAGATGAGAATTTTGGATGAGAATTGTATGATGTGACCAATGGACTCCTGTACTCTGAAATTCTTTTTATGAGGTTCTTAAAATGCAATCCCATAGTAACACTGCTTTACACTGCAAAAATGTGAATACAACATCTGAAKCAAATCCAGATTTAATGCAAGTCTAGAAGTAGCATGATACAGACTGCATAAATTGGGCCTTACCTGAGATGTACACAAACGACAAGTGCCAGGCAAGGTGTACTGGTTTTCTTTGTATATGTGTGTTCAAGTTTTTGTAAACTAGTCTGATCCCAGGAATACAATAGCCAAAAATATTCCAAGTGAATAGAACACACATTTTTTGCCAAGAGTAGTTATTATAGGAGCAGTTAGGGGTGAGATTTTGTACTGGCCAAAGTTCACACTTYTCATTTGAGATTCTTGCTATAATCTTGTTCAACAGCTAAACTTGGAATTTAATTGTGAAACAATGCAGGAAGCCATAATGGAGATCTGATTTAGGAATGCTGGATTCAAGCTAAAATTTCTGGTTTTGCTGTCAAGGTAAAATTTCTGAATCAAGCTGAATGTCTGCTATAAGTTACCCCATGTTGTAGTAAAGAAGCATAAATACTTGACACTTCCTTTTTAAATGAAGGGGACACCAATATTAATTATTCATCAAGTGGGAATAATTTTAAAATTGTTTTTAAATTGACAAAACCAGAGCGTTCAGTTCACCTAAGGACTTGAAGTTACTGGAAGATGCAACAGTTCTCTATGAGTAACATTTACGTTTCAGACAGTGTAGTAGATTGATGTGATGATGCTRAAAAAGACTATTCATTCTTTGAAAGTGTCTCTGTCAACTTTCATCTTAGTCCCAAAACTCAATTTGATATTTTCCTGATTGCAAGGATGATTGATTAATGTTTTTAAAAATATTTTATAGCTGCCTTGTTAAACGAACTGACAGAATGATGTGATTGACATACAAAAAGAAAATGTCACCAAACATGAAACTTCAACAAAACAGAGTAATGGAACCTGTGCTGAATTACAAGGACATTTGTGAGAGTTTGGTGCTTTAACACACAATTATTGAAAAACTGAATGGGCAATTGGGGAAGTAATCTGGCTGTATAAACAGTAATTTGTAACTAGGAAAAGAAATTTATGGCTTGTCTCCAAACATCGTTAAAAAAAAACAGGCGAAGACCCTCACCAATCTATGAAGTCAAAATGTGACTCTTGTTAGAAACCACAGCAGAACACGCAGCTAGAAAAGCTGGTACTGGACAGCTGTCAGACAGTTCTGTGAGMGCATGAGATCATCTTCTGAACCACCCAGAATATCATGAAGTAATATTGGACTGTGTTTCAAGAAGCATTATTTCTCTCACTGTAAAGAAGTCATTGTACAATGTTCTCTTGTTCCAGTTTGATAATGCCTGTATGGCTCAGAATTCTTTTTTTTTTTACATTTCTGGTGTTGATATACTGAAAGAGCAGTAACCTGRCAGAAGCTACAGTTATATTCTGTTGAATCTGCTCTGCAGACAAGTCAAAACCATTCTTTCTTTACAGCAGTACCTCTAATAAAGACGGGGCAGCTGTTAAATGGGTGGGTATCCTGGAGTTGATGTTGCAACCCTCTCCATCTGCTACAGCAGAGGGAGTATAGAATTTCCTTGAAATGCTTGACAACCTTTCCCTGCTCTAGTACTCAAGTGTACTTCAGCTGAAGCAGGGCGGTTTTGGCTCAAAGTATACCTGGGCTTTCCATGACTAACAATCAGACTTTAACTTTTTAATTTATTAATAATATTGTTTATTTAAAAAAAAGCAGTCTTGCCTGTCTCTCTGACCTTACAAAGTACAGCTTTCTTGTGTTTATCCCTTCTTCCCCTTTGTTCCTTATGGCTCACAGTTCTCTTCCCCTTACTGGTGAATTAGTACATTCCTTCTTSGTTAAAGTTTTGTCTTCATAGTGTTTTACTATTCCTGTACTTCATTTTGTGAAGTGTCAGCTGTGCATCACTGGCTTCTGGTATAATCTTTATTATTGTTGTTCATACAAGTTGCTCCTACATTACCTTGCTAGGTAGTGGTCTTCCTTCTGTCATTTAGCTGAATTGGTGGGGTGTGCAGGGTCYGCTCTCCTACAGACTACAGTAGTTCAGGAAAATACTAGAGCCAGTCATAGAATTATCTGCATTATGAGAGTTTAGGACCAGATACCAAAGTCCTGGAATGTTTCCCAAATAATTTCACAAAGATACACATGAAGCCAGTTCAGACATGGTATCTAATATCCGTAGCTAATCATTAGGGAGAGACAATCATCACTATTATTGCTGTAAACTGAGGCAAGTAGAGCTGTTAATGTACCATATGCCATGTTTTTATTTCTAGTTGAGCTTAATGTGATACGCAGTGGATTTCATGTTTCACCCCCAATGTAGTTCACTTCTCTGCATACAGATTTACCAGCCAGACCAAGCCTCAAGGGGCAGGTAACCAGACCCATCAAACCCAACCACTGTGTTTTAGCTTTCCTTTAATGACAAGACAATAGCCATGCAAAAGAAGCACAGTACACAATAGCAGCAGTTCTGCATGCTCAATTCTAAAGTAGTACCTGCGCAGCTCAGCAGGGTTTGTTACAGTCATATACACAAATCAGGGTAGCTAATGGAGAGGTAGCTCCATTTATGCTCTTACACTGACTGATTTTCCAAATAGTTTAAATTAATGGTATCTACACAAGGTTAATTGTCTTGCCAAAAAGGACTCTTTGTTTTCTTAAGCTTGATACCTTGTATATACCAAGGCTCACACACASAAGCTCTGGAAAAGCTTTAGCTATGAGAATGGTACAGCGGATTTTCTCAAGATGCAGGTAAGAGATACCATCTTTTGAAGGAGTATCACTATCCTTTCTCTGGTCTGGTTCAAGATAGCTCTAATCTGGTGCATTGTCAGGTACACAGCTTTTCTTTAGAACTCCTATAGTTCCCAGAGCCCCTGCAAGCTTAGGTTACATAATAGTAAGAGACACCAAAGTATCAGTACCTTTCAAATTACTATCAGCGCCTTCACATGTATTAAATGCAGCAATRGTGATTGTTGTATCAGACCTATAAATCTGTCCAGTCTTTGTTCCCAGTTTACGTTTATTTCTTCCACCTCAGTTCCATCACTCTTTCAAAATCAGTTTTGTCCTCTGAACAGTAGAAGTGTTCTGTTGTTGTAGCCTTGCCAGGAGAAATGAGGTAAAATAATGTGTTTTGATGAGAGAAGTGTTCTGGGAAGATAGTGAGTTTATTCATATAGCCACCATCTGGTCTTCTTATTTCTGGAACTGAGTATAATTACGCACTGAAAAAAAATCCTTAAAACTGTATGCTTTAAGTAGGTTCATTCTCATTTTCAGATAGCTTTTGTCTTTCTTTTTTCTACTAAGTTCTTCAAGAAGAATTCACCTAATTAAAAGGAAAAAAATAAACACCAAAATTRTTTGTAGGTATAAAATAAGTCAAAAGAATATGTTCTTATYTAACAWGAGTGTTCTRTAATACAATTGTTTCTACCAGTTATTKTATAGAATTCAATTCTATATAACAGCATTTCCAATACATACAGYARGGGTCTAAAGAAATCCCCAAAACTATAACCCAACAAACAACCCCTCCAGTGCCCAAATCCTGATTTTTCTCATGTCCAGTTTTATAAAACAGYTCTGTTGCTTTGAGCTTTCCAACAGGCAAAAGTGAATTGATTTAATTAAAATTTAATTCCTGTTCCATGAAGTATCAGCAAGTTATAGTAAAACCTGCTATAAATCTTGTTTGAACKGGCATTAAAACAAACTAAGCAGCACAGTACCCCAGATGATTCTGCTGTCTCCTTARGAAAAAGGATGTTGTACCTATGCAACAGTTGCATTAATATCAGCTGCTACTTAATACCGAGTGCTTTGTCAGAAAAAGCACTGCCGTATGTGTCTAGTTGTTTCTAAAGCACTGTAAATAAATTCTGCCTAAAGCAACAAAATTGCATCACAAACAACCATGAGCCTCATTAAACCGAAAAGCATCCAAGAGGCAGAATCTAAAGGAAAACTTGCGAATTTGGTACCCTTTATCCTGCCTTACACATTTAGTACAGAAGAGGTTTGGCAAAAAAATTACTTYAAGAAGCACTGCAATTGTACAAATACTAATTACTGTCATTCTGATGCATTTGGATGACCTATAGGAGACAGTGTAAATTATTTTTAAAAAAGGATCACTATATGAGATGTCCTTGACCTAAGGTGAGCTTTGTTGCATATCACTTCACCATTTTGATTTTTAATAATAAAATGTTACCTGCTAAATAACCCGATGCCTTACAGAAATTTACCTGCTTTATAGGAAGAACGCACTAAAGGCCCACTAGCAGTATAATGGAATCCAAGATCGTTTCCTACTTTTTCCCAGTATTTGAACTTTTCTGGAGTTATGTACTCCTCGACCTGGGGGAAAAGAATTAATTTTGCTCAGGTRTTAATGCAAAGGAAATGGCTAGCATGCTGTGAAATAAAATACAGTTATATTGCAAGTTCAAAATTTTTCACTCCAAAGCTTCCATCAGTGAAGTCACAACTGCACTTTTCGTCTGCTTTCTACCAAAAGAATGTATTTTATTTGCTTTTCACATTTAATTGACAAGTTCAGAATTTCTGGTTGTTGCTTTATTGTTTTCTTCACTCTGTTTTTGAAAGGTCCTTTCAAGTCTTTTTTTCTGTCCAAGTAAGTGAAAAACCTCAGTMATCCTACAAACCTCTCCACTCATAGTTATTTCACTGAAACATACGAACAGAACAGACTGCAAAGTTCGGAACAGATCACAGAAGCAGAAAATGGTAAATTTCCCAGCTGAAGTGGCACCATTAAGGGAGAGCCCCAGCAAAGGGGCACTGGCTTGAACAATTATGTTTGAGGCATACACTGAAACTCTCGTTTTCCAGAATCATGCCTCAGCTCCAGCTGTCTCCCTGGCTAAACAGGAGACAGAAACTGTCTTCCCAGCAGAAACTCGCACTGGGAAGTCTGCAGAAGCTGGAAGGGGTTAGATGGCTGAGGTCACTTTTAGTGAAGGGTCCATAACAGATAATCATTGTCAGGCTAAACAAGGAAGGAAATTTTTCCCAATAACTGCAGTTAGAGTAAGGATGACTGTGCAAGGTACAGACCATAACTCTGCCTGTAATTTAAAGGSACTTTTACCTTTAGGTGACGTTTTGTTGGTTGCATGTACTGTCCTAGGGTCAAACAATCTACATCTGCTTCCCGCAATACTGTAAAAACAAAATTCCTTGTTAATGGCAGAAGGATCACAAGGGATTGTCAGCAATGAGAAAAKGCCCTCATTCCAAGTCTGAACAAGGGTCACTCCACAGTGAGCCCCTGCAGGGGCTCCATCGTGCTTACAGTGAAGGGAACTTGCAGCCTCCGTGCGCRGTCACCACACACCTCACACTGAGCCCACGCTGCTGCTGGGCCAGAGCTATCAAGCTTGARCTACAGAGAATCCCCTGGAGCTGCACTCACTGCAGTCATGTCTCACTGCAGAGGTGACATGCTCTTGYCTCTTGCTGCTTTCTGTGGTGCCTTTAAGGTCAGAGACTTCATTTGATAAAAGATGGCAACATGCACACACACGGGCCACTTCACTGTTTCAAGAGACTTCATGCCAGAAAGATGCAGACAGTACTTGTGCCATAAACCAGGGGAAAGAGCCAGTTAGGATGTATGTTAGTTTTGATGCCTGCAGAATCTCACAAACTTTGTCTTTATAGTTAGAGTATATACTAGAATCAATGAACAGCCAATGAGTCCCGGTAATCTGTCTACAGAGGGAAAAACAGACATTTCACGGTCAGTTGGCCAGAAGAATCATGTTCATTGCAGGAGAAAGGTGTTCTGAATAAAGGATGGCTGAAGAATCAGAGTTTAATCATTAATTTCCCCATATATTTCCTGGCTACTTGGCCCACATCAAACAGGAAGAAAWGGTAGTGTTTTGACTGCAGTATTGCACTCACTGTAAATTTGGCATCTTTCTTTAGACTGCTATGGTTCTGTAAAGAAATAGGAACAATACCAGCACATTTAGATGCTCTTTAACTTGCACCCAGAGGATGAAAGGAAAACAAAACTATGTAACTGAATGAATGAGGTGGGTGACAGTTTGCTTCTGTACACATTTGTGAAAGTGGTGTGAAAGCAAATAGCACCAAATCTGAAATTTCATACCCTTGTATGCAGGAAATTCTAGGAAGGAAGAATGGGAAAATCAGCGACCATAATTTTTTGGTCCAGTTGCAGAAAAAATGAGACTACGTAGCTGCATTCTAAATATGTTTGTACACAAAATGAAGTACCACATAGACGTTTTTCCAGGATATGGGAGAAATGCCATAGGATTATTAACTACTACTTCAAAGTGCATTGTATTCACTTACCACTTTAAGTGGGGTTTTTTGCCTCTTAGAAATACACTTACATGAAAACATAAGAACACATACAGCTCCAAGGGCCACATTTTTGCATCTAAGTAAAATGAAATAATTTAAGCGATCAGGTCTGCTATTTCTAAAAAGGAATGCACGAGGCAACAATTTTGCAAGACTRTTATTTAAGTATTGCAAAGATAATGTCAATATACTTACACAAAAATAGTTATACATTCCATTGGAATCAACATGAGATGGATTTACCTGTCAAATTGAATCTGAAAGCTATATGATGGCAAAATATYTCAGAAATTCAGTCTTTTTTAAGCAAACGTCTCTTTTTCAATGAAACTTAGAAAACATTTCCTGCACCAGCAAACTGATTTGTATGTAGAGGTGAAGATGCTTACAACTGTTTCCCAACACAGTAAAATTCATACCTGTGAATTCTGGCATCTACTTCAACACCAACTTACATTTCATTGTGGAATATATTTGTTCATCTGTCTCGCCCAGCCCCAGCATTATGGAGGTTTTGGAAATGACGCCAGGCTGGACCTCTTTGGCATGTTTCAGCACACGGATGGACTGCTCGAAGTTGGCTCGGGGGTCGCGGACCTTCCTTTGCACATTTTCAGTACAAGGGGGAAAAACACGTGAAGAGGCACACAGAAGTCAGAGACGCCAGGAAGGGCGCGTTCTGCACGTTTCTACGAAGCGGCAGCGCAGCGCAGCTCAGTCGGACAGCGGCGATGGGCCGGGCCCGGCTCAGGCCGGGGGCACCGGGAGGCGGCACCGACCCCGGGCCGCGGAGAGCGCGCCCCCTGCCGGCAGCGGCGGCCTCAGCGGCGGCGCGCGAGGCAGGCCGGGAGCGGAGCCGCTCCGCACCCCGCACCCCGGGCCCGCT